TCGGGACCATCAGAGGACTTTATTTAAAATAGGGATTGAAATAAATGAATGTGTGAGTTGTGTTCTGGATGAATCCATCAGCTGTTTGGTCTCCAGGATGTCAGAACATGAAAATGTGGATCAGAGTTTCCTCCAACGTCTCATTTAGTCCAAAGATCTTCAGTTTACCGTCACAGAGGAAAGAAACCAGAAAACATTCACTGAAGGAGCTGAACCCGCAGAATTTAGACGGATTCTATTGAAAATGACTCAAACTGATGAATTGATTCTCAGAATGGTTGTAGATCAATTAAAACTAATTACTGGATGTTTGCAGTTGTTCTGCTGATCAGAGTCTTCAGAGTCTGGTTCCACTGCAGCAGGTCTGACAGTCAGGATGTACCTGAAACACCTGAGTGCATGTAAAACACTGAGCCGAGGTCCTGCTCTGGTCAGGCTCCCTCAGATCCGGTTGTGCGACATGAACTCATACATGTTGGGTTCATGTAGATTTATTTCAGGTCCACGTTTTAGGAGGCATGAAATAAACCCTGTGTTCCATTTATTACCAGTGACTGAGGAGTAACGGACTCCTGCACACAGCCAAGGTGTTGTTCAGCCAATCAGTGATCAGAGCAGCAGGTTCTCAGTAGAACGTGTTCCTCGGGCCTGGATCTGACACCAGCAGAACCAGCAGCAGGTTAATCACTGTGATGAGAACAGAGCAGCTGCACTCACAGGACTCCTGGAAACACAACAGCTGCTGATCTTCCTGCAGCGCTTGTTGTGTCTTGGCTGTGATGTCATCGCTTCACGTTGAGTTTCTGCCCTTATTTTGTATCTTTTTGTAGAAATATTGCATTTTTTGTTGGAATGTAGCTTTTTTTGCTTTGATTTTCATATTTTTGAGGTCCTGCTGCATCTCTTTGTGTGGATTTCACAAACATGCCTCGTGTCCTGTTGCCTGTTGAGCTGTTTGTAACGTTCAAACTGAGTCACTGACAGTTTGACTGGTTCTGGAGCTGACTGAGTAAATCAGACCAAACCATCTCCATCAGGTTGGACCAGCCCAAAGTGGAGGTGTTCACAGATGGTTTTTCCTCCAGAAATAGTGGATTAATCCAGGGAGCTGCTGATGGAGAACACCTGAGACTACTAACTGATCTCACCTGTCTGTCTGTATAACCCCGCCCCTCAGATGTTTGTGTGATGAGACAAAGTGATGACTAACCCCACCTCTAACCTGCCTGTCTGTCTGTCTGTCTGTCTGTCTGCCTGTCTGTCTGTCTGTGTGCAGATGGATGAGATAAAGCTGAAGGACAGGGCGGTCAGTGTTCTGGATAAGGCGCTGGGGCTGCAGGCTGGACACGCCCACCGGCTGCAGCTGCAGACTCAGGCTGCCGAGCAGCAAATCGCAGCCCTGAGAGACGCTCAGAGGGCGGGGCTTAACCACCCCACACCTACCCCCCCCTCTAACAGCGCACCTCACATTGTAAGCCCCGCCTCCTCCTGCATGCTCCAACTGCATGACAAACATCACTTGTTCACCTGTCAGGTGTGTCCGAGCTCTGAGCGGTGGAGCTGCAGGTCTACCTGGACGCGTGCTGCCGAGCGGCTGCAGCAGGTTGATGCAGTTTGTTAATGCGCCCTCAGCTGCGTCTGTCAGGCTGCAGTCAGGAGCTGCTGTGATGTTCTGATTCTGTCTGTGACTCAGTTTAAAGGACGTTACAGCAGCAGTGGTGTTGACGTCACTGAACTGTTGTGAGGGTAACATCTGTCTGCGTCGCACAGCTGGACGGACAAACCACCAGCACATTCTAAAAGACAGTGTTTGGGATCAACATGAACACGACGCTTTTCATCCATCGTTTAGAGTTCAGTCCACTTCTCCTGACCAACAAACAGGAAGGAACTCTGATGACTTCATACGTCGCAGCATAAACACGAGTCCTGCTTGTTCCAACTCGTTACTTTTACAAACCCAATGACGACAATCATGGACACAAGCTTCTATGTTGACAAACATTTAATTAAGCTGATCCAATTAGATTCTCTTCAGTAGTTTTGACCTGTAGTGGTAGTGAGATTACTGGAAGATAGGTTATGTGTAGTTAGATTACTGGTAGTTAGATTACTGATACTTTGAGTACTGGAGGTAAACTTCTTCCTGCAAGTGTCTCTGTCTTTATATGATAGTAATAATAACAACAACAACAATATTGATACTACAGCTCCCATGAGCCTCGGGGGCTGCAAGTCCCTGATCAGCTCTTTGTGTCGTTTCAGTCTCAGGAGGATCGAGACACTCGCAGGTTCCAGCTGAAGATCGCTGAGCTGAGCGCTGTGGTCCGGAAGCTGGAGGACAGGAACGCCCTGCTGTCTGAGGAGCGCAACGAGCTGGTAGCACAACACACCGCTGCAACACAACGCTGCAACACAACACAACGCTGCAACACAACACAATGCTGCAACACAACACAATGCTGCAACACAACACACAGGTGAGCTGCAGCCAGAGTTTCCTCAGAGAGACTGAAGGAGAATCCATCCTACTGGATCAATGAATAGATGCAGCACGGATCAGAACCAGAGAACAGAGGAGCCAGTTGGTGGAGATACATTCATCTGATGGTGGAACATCTTTCTACATCATGATGGTGGAACATCTTTCTACTGATGGTGGAACATCTTTCTACAGCTGATGAGCAGAGCAGAGGAAAAGTCTGGAGACATGGACATAGTCCATAGGACATAGTCAGAGATAGTTCGGCATCTGCAGGATGAGGAGACATGATCACAGAGACAAAATTACACAAAAGCTACACAAAATTAGATAAATGAGACAGAAAGCAACAACAGATGAGACAGAACAACACAAACAGGCCACAAAATGACATAAAAACTATAAAAAACAACAAGAATTACACAAACGCGCACAAATGAGACACATAGCGGCAATAACCAAGACACAAAACAACTAAAAATGAAATGAAACTACACAAATGAGACACAAAGCAACAAAAAAATAAATAAATGAACCTCGGTGAAGGAACACGAACCTCAATGAAGGAACATGAACCTCGGTGAAGGAACATGAACCTCGGTGAAGGAACACGAACCTCGGTGAAGGAACATGAACCTCGGTGAAGGAACATGAAGGACCAAGAACCTCAGTGAAGGACCATGAACCTCGGTGAAGGAACATGAACCTCAGTGAAGGACCATGAACCTCGGTGAAGGAACATGAACCTCGGTGAAGGACCAGGAGACAGGAGTAGAAAACAGTCGGTTTGGAGTTCAGAGGGTTAGAACAGGTTCTGGTATTTTATATTTTCCCTTTAGCTCAGATCCTCCAGTCGACTGATCAGGGTCTTTGTTCCACTGGCCACTCGAGGGCACCGTCACCTGGACTTCACCTGAATGTTAGCTGAATGTTACCTGAATGTTAGCTGGTCCACACACACACTTCAGGCCACACTGTTCATCCTTTCCTTGACTGTTTCTTCTCATCACTTCTGTATTTAATCGTTGCCTTCATTCGTTTCAGCTGAAGCGTCTGAGAGAAGCTGAGAGTCAGTTTCTTCCTCTTTTGGACAAAAACAAACGGCTGAGCAGGAAGAACGAAGAGCTGGCTCTCGCTCTGCGTCGCCTCGACAACAAGCTTCGCTTCGTCACCCAGGAGAACCTGGAGATGGTAACTATGGTAACCCCTGACTCCAACAACTCACCTGCAAACACAGTGTTCACACTGGTTCTGTCCCAGGAACACCAGCATCAGCACAGTGATTTAAACAGGCTGCAGTAGCCGCTGCTCACCAGCAGGGGGCAGCACACACAGTCTCTGCCTGGACGCCTGATCAGCACCATCGCCGTGGTAACAGTTTGTTGTTGTCCACAGAGGAGGCCGAGTTCGTTAAACGACCTGGACCGGAGCCACTCCACCAGTTACCATGGTTACAGCCAGGATGAGAGGGAGATGGAGTTTCTACGGTTACAGGTGCTGGAGCAGCAGCACATCATCGAGGACCTGTCCAAGGTAC